ATTATTTTAGTTTGAGATTAATTATATTCATTATATATTTTAAATAATAGAAGGTTTAGAATTTAAAAAAATTTTTTTTTTAATTTTAAAAAATTTTTATAGTTTAAATATATGTTGTTTTGAATAATTTCAAAAATTATTTTTTTTTATCTATATAATTCAAAAAAAAAATTAAAAAGATTCAAATTACAATTTTATAAAATAATTAATTAAATTTTATGAATAAATTTTAAATATATAAAAAAATATTTTTCTTTTTAATAAATGTAAATTCTTTAAGAATGATATAGTTGTGTTGAATTTATTTATATGATTATGACAAATTCATTTGATAAATTAAAATATATAAGATACATTTTTTTTAAATTTTTTATATATATATATATATATGTGTATATGTGTGTGTTAATTGCATTCAAAATAGGATATAAATTTTGAAATTTTTTAAAATTTAATTCAAAATTTTTTTTAATTTATAATTTTAAAAATCTTTAAAAAAAGAAAATTTCAAATTCTTTTTTTTTTGCATACATTTTATACATATTTTATTGCATTTTTTTTTTCAATTTTTGGACAGATAAAGCCTAGAAAGGTGATTGGGATAAATCTATAAAATTCAATGAAACATTTAAATATCAATATATATATATATATATATATATATATATATATATATATATATATATATTAAAGGACACATGGCACAGTGGAAAAGAAACAATTAAAATAAGGACCCATATAATAAATTTTTATAAAAAAATTTTAAGAAGAATATTTAATAGATTCAATGATATTTGAATGATCATTTTAAATGATGGAACATATATAATTTGTATAATGAAAAGCATTTTCAAATTAAATTTTCAAAAAATGTTCAAAATAAAAATATAAAATAAAAAATAAAATAATCATATTAAATATTGATAAATATACAAAATATATATATATATAATAATATATAGTTATTTTAATTATATATATCAAATACGTATAACATATATAATATATATATTTACAATTTTACTTTTATATATATATATTTAAATATATATATATATATATATATATATATAAAAATTTATATATATATATATATAATATATATCAATATTTATAATAAAAAAATATAAAAATATATATATATATATATATATATATATATATATATATATATATATATATATATATATAAATATATATATATATATATATATAATATATATATATATATATAAAATATATAAAAAATATATATATATATATATATATATATATATATATATATAAATATATAAATATAAAAAATAAATTAACTGGTTTAAAAAATGTTACAAAATGACATAAGTTTTTTAACCATGTTTCAAGAAAATAAAAAAATTTAAATTTTCAAATTTGATTTTTTTAATTAAATTAAAAAAATTATTCATTTCATCTTTTATTAATATTTTTTTTTTTTTTAAAAAAAAAATTTTATAATTCACTGTTTCCAACGAAACAGAAAATCCAATCATTCAGACATAATGGTACCAGTTATTAAAATGTTAAAAAAATATTTAAGTTTAGAAATTAAAAAGTTATGTATTTTTCAATGAAATTTTATGATATCCGTTAAAAAAAAAATAAAAAAACAAAAAAAGTTAAAAAAAAAAGTTTTTAGCTTCCATTTTTGAAACATGGTTATTACTTGTGAAGCAAAAAAACATATTTTAAACCATTTTAATTTATAAATATTTATGCTCTGTAAATTTACATGAAAGCACTGTTTTTAAAAAAAAAAGAATTTATAAGAACAAATGATTATATATATCTTACTGTTCTTGAATTATATATATATATATATATATATATATATATATATATGTATGTATATTTTGTAAGTGGTTTACAAACCTGAAAATTATTTTAAGAAATGAAAACAATAAAATAAAAATTTTATGTCTGTATTGTGTGTTTAAAAAGAGAGAAGAAATATTGTTCATAAAAATTTGAAGACATATTTGATCAAATATCAATAATATATGTATACATCTATTTTGATATACAACAATTATGTGTGTAGTTTTAAATATATATAACATACATCAAAAATTTACAACCTCATAATGAAAAATAGCATCATTTGATGCAGCACATATTTATTTTCCTAACATAATCTCCTTCCTTACCAATACCCTAATTCAATAGTAAATGTCCATCTAATCAAGCAAAAAATTATAGAGCATAAAATTAAAACCTGAATTCAGTTAACTGCCTATCAAGTTATAAACTTATTGCTGCACTTTCATGTGTATATGTTATATACCATACCAATGAACACTAATGGGTATGTTCCATTCCTCATAAATATGTTGGACACTAATAAGATCTAAAAGGTAAATACTGTCCTATTATATTTCCACCACTAAAGTATTTTAATTTAATCCAGAGTTTTTTTATTCAATAATTTTGTTGATGTTATAAAAATTAACAAAATTTTCCAACCTCCGTTTTTTTATTCTTGAAAAATATAACCCTTTATAATAATTAAGAAAAAAAAAAAAAAAAAAATGAAAGTTCTTGTTAAAATTTATATTTAAATAATTAATTACATAAATTTTAAACAAATTGAATACTTAAAAAAACCTTTTTTTATTTTTCAATATACACATGCATTTTTTTTGTATGAACATTTTTTTTAATCTATCTGTTATATACCATACATATGAACACTAATGGGTAAAAATTTAAATCCTAGCATAAATATATTTGGACATTATAAAAGTGGGGGAGACTGAAATATGGTGTCTATATTACAAGTCGGTTAAATAAAAAAATTTTACCTAGTGAAATGCTTAAAATAAACATATTTATTTTGTTATTTTTATTTTTATAACATTTGATTTAACCTCTTTTTTTTTTTTTTAATTTTTTTTAACTCTTTTTAATAGGTTAAATTTTAGTATATAAAATGAAATATTTGAAAAGACAGTTGGAAGTTTAACATTTTTTTTGTTATTCTTTTGTCAATGTTTTATTAAAAAAAAAAGAATAGCAAATTAGAATTTATGCAATTTTTTTTCAATTTTTTTTTTTTTTTTTTTTCAGTTGTTCTGATGATGTTTTTAATTAAGAAAATGTTGGCAACAGTATAAAAACATTTTTGTTTTGTTTTATAATATTCCATTTTATATACTTTGTTCAAAAAACATATATAAAAAAAACAAAGTGTAAAAAGGATTTTTTTTCTCTAACACCAAAATTATTTTAATTACCTTTTACTTCTCAGCAATGTTTAAATTTTTAAAAAAAGATGATGAAAATTTTAATTTCTAAACATATGATGAAAGTGAACTTATACATTTTTTGTTCTTGAGAATTTACAATAAAAATATCAAATACTATTAGATTATTTACAGAAATAATTTTCTAAAAATACAATTATATTAAAAAAATGATGTAATGCAATATTTATCATTTATCAATTTAAAAAAAAAATCAAAAAAAATTTTTTTTTTTAAAAAATTTTTGTTACTAAAATTTGAAAAATAAAAAATCAAATTTTTATTATTAAATTTTTTTTTATTTTTATCCAATTTTATATTTTTAAAATCAGTTTAAAATTTTTTTTTTTTTGACAACAGTCCAATAAACAATATAATAAAGATTAGTATAGGAAATTTTAGCATCTTTTTGCAGTAACAACACATTGATTTGGAAATTCTTGCAAAAAATCAAATAATTGTTGGATTTTAATGAAATTTTCAGGACTTATTCACAAATGAATGAATTTTTTTTTTTAAAAAAAAAAAAAAATTTAAAAAATTTTTTTTTACATCAGTTCAATTTTATTTAATTTTTTTAGAAATTTCGAGAAATTATTTTTTTAATTTTTTAATATTTTATTATTTAAAAGCAAAACTCCTTGGAGAATTTAAATCATCAATTTTTTTTTGTAAAACAAAAACACCATTTACTGAAAAAAATCTGCTCTGAATCATAAAAAAAAAAAATGCAATAAAACTAAAACATTATTTAATTAAAAAAAAGCTTTTAATTGCTTTTATAAATAAAAATATATTAGGACACTATTGTCTTAAGAAAATTTTTTTTCAATGAATAATGAATTTTTTACAAGAATTGTTTTCATTTTGCAAAAAATTTTAATTAGAATAATTTATTAAGTTTTAAATCTTTTAAAATTCTGTATTAATTTTTAACCCTTTTAGATGATATTATTATTAAGTAAAAACTATATTTACTAATCATAAATGGAAAAGCTTAGTACAATTCATCAAACACCAATATTTTAAAAAAAAAAATTTTGATTTTTTTTTTATGTTATAAATGTACTGATTTTTGATAAATAATCATATAAATGACATTATCAGAAAATAAAAATTAACTATATAGTAAATTTAAAGCCAAAGTACCTAAAATTCAATAAAACATTAGATTACAGAGAATATTTTTAAATTTTTTAAGATTACTGAATACTTAAAAATTATATAAAAAGGTGCTCATATTATATTTCTCAAATTTTTTTTTAAGCACCCTTTAGAAAAACATTAAAAGATTAGATATCCATTATCAAGTTGTTAACTAGTCAACAATTAAAATAAACAACTACCATGTTAAAAAAATGCATTTTATGATATTTTAAACTTAAAGTAAATAATATTTGTTTCAAATCAGATTAATTAAACTTTAAATCAGCTAATATTCCTCAAATAAAGTTTCAGAAAAGTATATTTTATTTTTAAGATTTTTTTTTTAATAAAAAAAATTACATTGTAAAATAAAGATTTCAAGCAAAAAAAAAACTTTCCTGAAAATTTAAATTGATTAAAAAAAAAAACCTTTTGCTTATTCCAGTCAATTTAAATTAGTTTTTAAAATACAAATAAAAGTTATTTTGCTTATTAAAAATATTAAAATTTAATTTCATCATCACACTTTTTTATGGCATATAAAACACATTCAAACTTTTCTGGTGGTGGATGATTCACATTCTTTCCCAAATATTAGAATGGTACAAAAAACAGACTGAGAACCAAACCAAGACCAAAAAACGACAGACTGAGACATGAACCAATATCAACAAAAGACAGACTGAGACCTGAACCAACATCAAGAAAGTACAGGCTGAGACCTGAACCAAGATCAACAAAAGACAGACTGAGACCTGAACCAAGATCAACAAAAGACAGGCTGAGACCCGAACCAATATCAACAAAAGACAGATACCTGAACCAAGGTCAACAAAAGACAGACTGAGACCTGAACCAAGATCAACAAAAGACAGGCTGAGACCTGAACCAAGATCAACAAAAGACAGGCTGAGACCTGAACCAAGATCAACAAAAGACAGGCTGAGACCTGAACCAAGATCAACAAAAGACAGACTGAGACCTGAACCAAGATCAACAAAAGACAGACTGAGACATGAACCAAGATCAACAAAAGACAGACTGAGACCTGAACCAAGATCAACAAAAGACTGAGACCCGAACAAAGAGCAACAAAAGACAGACTGAGACCTGAACCAAGATCAACAAAAGACAGGCTGAGACCCGAACCAAGATCAACACATGACAGACTGAGACCCGAACTAAGATCAACAAAAGACAGAGACCTGAACCAATACCAACAAATGATAGAGTGAGACTAAAACACATCCAAAATAAATACAGTTTAAGTCTTAAACCAGGATGTAAATACAGACTGAGATCTAAACCAAGACATTAAAAGTCAAACTGAGATCTGAATAAAGACTAACAAAAAAAAGAGATTATCTCAATTGTAAAAAATATATGGGACAAAGAAGACATCAATGAAAATTCAACAAGCACAAAAACTGTGATACTTTATTCATTTGTATATGAATAAAAAAAGAAAAACAAACATATATATATATATATATATATATATATATATATATATAGATATAGATATAGATATAGATATATATACACACACACACATTCACATGCATACAGAGAAATACATACTGAAGTTAAGGAACATACACACACAAAACAGATATGCAACAATGTGACACTTCATGCATTTACTTAATTTAAAAGTTTATCAATAAAATCTATCCCATAATTCTGATGTACATTAGATATGAACGGAGTCAACTCTTAAAAAATCATTAATCTTTACCAGTGAGATCAGCTGGTACACAAACAGCCTGCATTAGATCAGGAATAACCATTCTCTTTTCAGGATTGTCTTGAATAACAAACTTTTTTTCTTAAAGACTAAAAAAACAAAGAAAGAAAAAACAGAAAGGTAGAAAAAAATTCACATCCACACACTTTTTTATGTACATATGTGTGGTTGTGGGGTATGCGTGTGTGCATGAAATTGTTAGTCTTTTGTAAATTGTACTGATTTACCTGTAAATCAATAACACAACTTTGATAGGTAATAGATGATTGTTACTTGATAAGTTCAAATAAAATGGTAAGTTCTTTAAAATCAAAATCTTCATGAGACATTGATTTTTTCTTTCTTTGATTTGTAACTTACTAATTTAGACAAATAATTCTGACTAATAACTTTTTTTTACCTGACCTCACATTTTGCATGTTTTCATTTTATATCTTCTTTTTTATGTGCAGAGTCTCTTCAAGATGTGGGTGATAACAGCCCCTACAACTTCTTATCCTCTGGAGCTCTAAGCAATAATTTCTTTTAATTATTTCCTCCTAAGCAAGGCAATAATGTCACTAAGACACAGGTGATTATTGGAGGTGGAAGAAAATGAGAAGACATTAGGAGAAGGAAACAAGGGATAAACCTCTACTCCTGTTCAAAAGACAGGGAAGGAGTGTGAATGGGTGCTAGGCAAACCTATCTGCTGCTATTAGTTTGTCTCCTTACTATCTTTCTGTTTTACCATTATATATGCTACGTAGAATTTCCCTCATACCTTCAATATGTCCTGTGAGTATCACATTCTCTAAGCCTTCTTTCCTCATTATATGTCCCAGAAATTACAACTGGTCTTTTTATTTGTTAATTATTATTACAGATTTTTAAGACTAATGAAAAATATTTTATGAAATAATCAGTTAAGCCTTCATACTGATGAATATGGACAGAACTGTCAAAAGTACTACAACCCACCTTTTCTCCAAATTCAACTATGGAATGTTCACCCATGGGTTTCCATACTTTATTGTTATATTCAATAATGCTTACATAGAAAACTTGCTGCATAAATATGTTATATATATATATATATATATATATATATATATATATATATATATATATATACACACACAAATACAGGGTTGGTATAGATGGAATAAAAAAAAACATAACCAAAACCACTATTTTTAAAAAAGTGCTCAGTATAAAGCAGAGTGAATAATATTTATTTAAAAATGATAACATAAGCATGTTACAACATCACTACAAAAATAGCCATTTTGTTTCAACACTTGCAGCATCTTGTCAAGTGATGTTGCTGATTGCAAAATAAAAGGTTTTTAAAAGTCTTCCCCACAATGAAGGGACAGTATTATGTAAGCTATGATGGCCAATCAAAATATAAGTTTATTTTCAATTATAATTTTTAAATAAACATTATATATATATATATATATATATATATATATATATATATATATAATATTTATGCAACAGGTGTTATATATATATATATATATATATAAAAATATGTATAGATGATAAATTAGACAAAGTCAAAGGAAAGCTATTTCATTAACTACGCATTTCACCTTTGTTAGATAGGCTTCTTTGGGTCAGAAATCTGTGTGTGAATGTGTTAATTTTAAATCATTAATATCTGTTTATTAAGCTGGTGTCTTCCAGTTTGAAGCCTAACAAACTGATGCTAATGATTTAATATTAAAACATTCACACACAGATTTTTTTCATTTCAATGCAAAGAAGACTATCTAACAAAGGTGAAATGCGTAATTAATAAAACAGCTTTCAATTTTGTCTGATTTATCAGAAATTTGTCTGTATTCTATATCCTGTGAGTACACACACACACACATATATATATATATATATATTAGATAACAATATATAATTTTGTATAGTTTTATGTATTAACAAAAAGTATTTAGAAAAATTGTAAAAAAAGTTTTTGTGATGCATCGGACAAAAACAAATCCCAGTCCGATGAAAGATGAAACACATCACAAAATCTTTTTCCCAATTTATCAAACACTCTATATATATATCTTTAAGCATTTCACCCCACAAGCAAGGCGGGAGTGCCACTAACCATCAAGAGGTAACAGAGAATTAAAGTAAGATAAAGATGAAAGGATCAGAAGTTGTTGATTGACATATATAAAACATTATTTTTTGTGGACACATGTGTATTTGAGTTGCTATTCATTTTTCTTAAATAGTGAAATTAATAAACAAACAACTCAGATCAAGAAATTTTATTAAAGAAAAAAATAGTCCAGTCATTATGAATTTCACTGTTTGACAAAAATAAATAAAAAGATAGTAATTCAAACACATGTACCCACTAAAAATAACAGTTATTGTAATAAGAAATAAGGTCGGATTAAAAATACACTATATATATATATATATATATATATATACATACACAAGAAATATACATTACGTCTTACATTAACTGCATAAATCTAAGTATCCAAGCAATTTTCACACAGAGTTGTGCAATTAATATAAGATATTATACATATTTCTTAATATATAAATAGCTCTGTTCTTTTTACACTATGGAGTATTTATATATGATTGCTCAGTCATATATTTACCTATATTTACCCATTTGATTATATATATATATATATATATATATATATATATATAGAGAGAGAGAGAGAGAGATAGATAGATAGATAGTTATGAACAGTCTGTGATAGATAGATAGATAGATATGAACAGTCTGTGATAGATAGATAGATAGATAGATAGATAGATAGATAGATAGATAGATAGATAGATAGATAAAATTTGATTTGTCACTTTTTGATGTTACCTTCAGCATACTGACTGCAAAGTTTTTTAGATGGACACTCCAGAAATCACTCCTCAGGGCATGTCAGTAAAAAATTGTTTATATTTCTCGTTTGCATTTTTAATTGGTGCAAGTTTGCCTTTTTTTTTTCATTGTGTGCACATGCATGTATATTTGAGATTGAAAATAAAAATAAAAGACATATATAGTCATATATATATATATATATATATATATATATATATATATATATATATATATATATATGTGAACAAGGGATTTATATTTATTAAACAGAGAAAATGAACCTTGCTTGAGTGTGAGAGTCATCTGTGGCCGCACAGTCTAAACAAATACAGAGCTTAATGGTGGTTTTCCCTTTCAAGGGGAATGCAAATTCAAACCCAGCCAGCAGGTACATCATCTTTATTAAAACTCTTGAATGCACAGGTTGGGTGATGTAAATTTATGCTGTTTTAAAAAAAAACAGATGCATCCACTCTACCATGTTCATCGACTAAATATAATGTTCTAAGTAACAAGAAATATATCTATCTATATATATATATATATATAAAATGGACATTGTGGTCAATACCCATTTCATGTTTGAATGCAATCAACTGACCATGCTTTCAGGCATGAAACAAATTGTCACAGCTGGGTGTTGACCTCAATGTCCACTTTTATATTTACATACACTCTATCCCTCATATTGAGCCACTTTAACAAATAAATATAGCATACTGCAAAGCTATATATATATATATATATATATAAATAAATTGGACATGGAGGTCAACACATTAGGTCATAAAGATTGTGGTGAACCTGCTTTAAACCCCTCTCTGTATTTTTTTTTTGTTGTTTACTTTTAAATGTATTTTTTATCACATAAAATTTGCTGAGGCACAAGCAAATTTTCATTCTGAAAATGCATCCCAGAGAAAAATAGTTTGGGAACCACTGTTTTAATGTAACATTTCTATGAATTTCAACCGATAGGTCACTTAAAACATTTTCTTTGATTTG